CTCCTGGTCCCCCTCTCCATCGCTCACCCCACCTCTTCCTCCCCCTCCTCTTGCCACCTCTCCTCCCCCTCCTCCTGCTTTTCCTCTCCCCCTTGGTTCTCCGCCCATCCCTCCTTCATCACCTGCCCTCCTTCTCCTTGCGTCCTCCCTCCTCCTGCGATAGTTATCATTTTCTCCCCTTTTCGGACCACTGCCTTTTGAACGTGCCGACAGCGTGCGCGAAACGCATTCGCCGACGCCCCGTCGCGGTACCCGCTTAATCGGGCACCTCGGGAAACTGCGCGATTCGCTGCGCCGCCAGGCGGGCCGAAACCTGCTGGGCTGCCCCCAGCGCAAAACAAATCGCCCAGGAGCAGGGCCGCCAGACACCGCGCCAGCAGGCGCCCCCGCCACCACAGACACGCGCCCCCGAGCATCGCTGCCGCCGACGCCGCGCTGCCGTCGCAGCGGCGGCAGAACACCCGCCCAAGCCCGCGCACGAGTGCCTGGGGCCACCGTGAGCGACCAGCGAAAAACGTGGTCAGTATCTCGCCCCTGCTGTCGGGAGCGCCAGCACCGATCTGGCGCGGGCAGGGCGCCGGCGACGGCCGGCCGGTGGAGGCGCAGGCCACGGGGGCAGACGCGGCGCTCGCACGAGCTGTGCGATGGAGGATTCTGCGTCAGTCGCGCCGCCGGCGGCACGCCGCCAGCGGCGTTGCCGCCAAGGCGGCCTGCCGCGCGCTGCGCAGCTTCCAGCAGCTCGAGCTCCCGGCGGCGCGAGCGCACCAGCTCTGGGGGCCAGCGTTGTCGTCCGCGGCTGCGTTGCCGAGGCGGTCCTGGTCGCTCAGCCCCATGCGCCGCGCCTCTGCTCGCGGCCTGTGCGCTGGCACCCAGATGGACCTGGAGCCGCCCGCAGCGCACCGCGCCCGCCAGCTGCTGCCACAGGTCGGCGTGCTCCCACTCCTGCGCGTCGGCCCAAGACGGCCCATGAGGGCTCCAAGAGGCCCTCCAGGAGAGCCCGAGAAGGCGAACCACACGCATTTGCCTCTCGTGCTTGAAGAACTTTGAGGTTCTCACCCTTTCGGGCTTCCGGGCTTCCGACCACCATGGACGGCGAGCTCCAAGGCAGCCCATGAGGCTTTCAAAGAGGGCCCCAAGTCGGCCCATCTGGCCGCTGCGACGAGAAGGTCCGCAGAGGGCAAAACAAGGCAAACACATTCCCAAACATCCAGATCCCGATTCCTGCAACCTGGAATCTCCAGCGGCGACCCTCCTCGACGACAACGACGACGTCGTTGGCGACGGCGACGACGAGTGCAACGGGGACGTCGACACCGACTCCGACGAACGGCCGCGACATCGAACACGGCGGCAGCGACGGCGATGGTGACGACGACGACGGCGACTGCGGCGTTGAGGACGACGTCTCCGACGACGACGCCGACGCCGCCTAGGACGACGACGCCGAGGACGATCGCGACGACGACGGCGGCGACGTCGACGGCGGCGACAGCGTCGACGACACCGACGACAGCGCCGACGACACTGGCGACGAACGCGACGGTGACGACGACGACGGGCAAGGCCCAGCGGCCTCCGCGAGCGCGAGCGCCGCGCCGAGCTGCTCACCCACGTTGCCCGCGCGCAGCTTGCCGAAGAGGTACGGCCTCGGTGACCGATCGGGCCAGCCCGTCCGCGGCCGTCGGTCGTGGTCGCGTCCGTCCGCCGTGGATCGTCATCGCCGTGGACCGGGAAACAGCTCAACATAAACAAAACACAAAAAACAAGCATAAACACAACAACAGCCAAAACACAAAAACAAACATTAACACAACAACACAATCAAAACACACAGCTATAACAACTAAACACAAACACATACTCGTCTGACTCCTCTAGCTCTCCGAGATGGCAGCGCGCTCATACGACGACCAACGCTCCCATGGCAAGGTAGGCTCGAACGCGCCTCCCAAGCGAGGCTACTGAGCGGAATAGGCGAGTGCCTGCCAAACTTGAAGCTTACCTGTCACGGGCTCGTGCAACCGAGCGCACTGGAATTCGCCGGCCCGACGGGCCAGAGGCGTGCTAAGATCTCCGGTAACTGGTTCACAATTCTTCTAGTTCGGGCGCGCGGGGCGGCCCCTGGGGGTCCCCCGGCGAAAAGTACCCCGACCGCAGCCCAGGAAGGTCCCGGGAAGGTCCTGGGAAGGTTCCGGGAAGGTCTACTCAGAGATGGTTTTCCTCCTGGGTACGGCCTCTCAGGCCCCCCAGAGCGCGCCAAGAGGGCCCCAAGAGGATCCCAAGACTGCCCAAGAGGACCCCGAGACGCCCAAAGGACGCTCCCAGACGCCGAAGATGATTCCAAGACGGCCCAAGAAGCCGCCAAGACGCTCCAAGTGGCCTCCAAGAGGCCTCACAAGAGCGCCCCGAGATGCCAATATCATAAATTGCACAATGGTTTTGGAAGGATTTTGGCCTTCTCGCATTTTCGGCTTTCCGATGCCCCAAGACGGCCCAAGAGGCCCCCAAGAGCGCACGAAGACGGCTCAAGAGGCCCCCAAGAAGGCCCCCAGAGAGCCCAAACGGGCCCCGATACAGCAAAATCCGTACATGCAGTAGTCGCAGTTGTCGAAACATTTGCAAGTCTCGTACTTCCGAATGCCCCAGTGGGCTGGAGGCCTAAACCGGGAGGGCAGCCCTGCCACGGTACACGCTTCTCAGTGATCGATTGTTTGTATCTGGATGCCAAAAGATACGTCAAGACGATCATGATGATCAGGCCGATCAGCCACTGAATGATGGCACCTACCCGAAGGGCGGCACCGATTTCGCCCGACGAATCATCATTAGATTCCGTCATGCGGCGCGGGCTCGCGTCGAACGTGCCGTCAGGAAGTGACCAAGCCGTCCACTCAGCTTTCCTGGCAAGAGCCACCTCCAAGTGTGCCTGACCCGACTCTGGCAGCATTCCCTTGAGAATCTCCCCCACGACGGCCTCGGGGTACCCCCCAACTGACCAGTGGAGCGCGTGAAAGAGAAGCATCGCAGGGTGCCCTAGCATAGACAAGATGAGCAGCAACATCGCAGCCCCGAAGCTCTCGTTGCGATCTGCCAAAACAGCCGACGAGCAAGATGAAACGACGGGTGTCTTACCATGACAGGTCTTGAGCCTTGAGCCAACATGCCTACGGATCAGATGTTCGGCACTCCCGGCGCCGGTTGTGATTAGCTCAAGGCCGTCGGAGGCCTGTCGCGGTCCCAGTCTTTCCAGTTTTCTCGGAGGCCTCTGGGGTCCTGGGGATCTAACATCTGGAAATCTGGAAAGTCTACCTCGCTTGCCGCCCCAGTCGCGGTGGCGGACCTTCTCGGCAAGCTGCGGGATGCAGACGTAGGGGACTGGGTGATGCTTCCGCTTCGCGGTGGTCCGCCCGCCTCAGATTACCTCATCTGCCACATGATATAGAACGCAGGAGTTTATTGACGCGCCGCGTATTCTGGGAGCGTCTTCATGCGGAGGGCCCGAAAATCCCGTTCGGATCCCGGTCCGGGGCTCTCTCTTGGAACTGTTTTGGAAGCCTCTTGGGCCGTCTTGGAGGCAGCAACAGGCATCGAGAGGCTGCCGAGAGGCTCCAAGAGTATTCAAAACGTTTTCTGAGACGCCTCCAGCCTCCCACCCCCGACCCAGACATGGTGAAGGGATGGGCCGCGTGGCAACTTGGAACAACAAAGCGGAACGTCGGGGATTCCAATTTTTTCAAGATGCTACACGCGTCTTCCTCGTCGTCGTCGTCGTCGTCGTCGGGGCGGTTCTGGGGCGTCTTTGGAGCCTCTTGAGAGTCCCTCTGGGGCGCTCGGGGATTTCTCGGGGCCTCTTCAGGCCTCTTGGGAGCCTCTTCGGGCATCTAGGGGATCGCGGGAGGCGGAGGGCCCGAAGCCCGTCCACGTACCCCGTTTGGGCGCCCTCTTGGAGCCGTGTTGTGGGCCTCTTAGGCCGTCTTGGAAACAGCTTGGCCAATCTTGCTGCCTTTCTGGCGACGACGGCCACGGCCACGGCGACGGCGACGACGACGACGACGACGACGACGACGACGACCACGACCCATCTTGGCCGTTCTGACGACGACGACCACGACAACGACGACGACGACGACGACCACGACGAACGTCGCTGCCGTCTCGGAGGCTGTTGGGAGAAGCTTGAAGGCATCTTGGGGCGTCTTGGGGGCTTCTTGGGCGTTTCTCTGAGCCCATTGGGGATTGCTTGGACCCTCTTGAAGCCTCTTTGCTTTCTCTTTGAGGGCACCTCAGGTCTCTTCAAGCGGAGGGCGCCGAAATCCCGGTCAAGTACCCCGTCAAGGCTCCCTCTTGGAACAGCTTTGGACGCCTCTGGAGCCGTCTTCAAAGATGTCGGCTGTCTTGGGGCCGTTCTGGCTACGACGGCGACGACAACAACGACGAAGCCTGGAGCAACTTGAAAAAAAGGAATTCCCGACTTCCCCTTTTTCTTCCAAGTTGGCAACGACGACGACGACGAGGACGAGGACGATGACGACGACGAACGTCGCTGCCGTTGGGGCAGTTTCCTGGAACCAGTTTTGACGCATCTTGGGTCGGTTCTTGGACGTCTTCGGCACCTGTTGGGCGCTTCTCTGGGGCTCATTGGGGATTGCTTGGGCCCTTTTGAAGCCTCCTGCGGGCCTCTTGGGACCACCTGGGGATCCCTTCAGGCGGAGGCCACCGAAACCCCGTTCGGGTACCCCATCTGGGCTCCCTCTTGAAACCGTTCTGGAACCTCTTCAGCGGTCTTGGAAACATCTTCGGCTGTCTTGGGGTCGTTCTGGCCACAACGGCGACGACGACGGCGACGACTCCTGGACCAACTTCAAAAAACACAGATTTCCTAACTGTCCCTTTCTGTCAACTTTGCGACAACGACGACGACGACGACGACCATCAAAGGCAGTGCTTCACATGCTGCTCTGGTGTGTAGCCATGTGGATTTCTAAGCAATGGAGCTGCAACTCCTCGACCAACTTGGCAAGATTCGTGCTACTTGAGGCTGGCGCTGCATCCCGCTAGCCACATTTCCCGATAATCCGGTACAGGACTCCCCCTGTCGGGGTCCTACCCTGGCAGATTTCAGGTCGTCGTCGTCGCCATCGTCGCCGCCGAGGGCCCAGGTCCGAGGTACAAGGAGATTCCCGGGCGACATCATTCGAGCGATCTTCGCGCCCGCTTCGCCCTACAACTGGGATCAACGGATCAACGCGCCGCACGGGAAACGGGCGGCTTCTCTCGAGATATCCACGCACGCTTCCGCGCAACTGAACTGCCCGTCGATGATCATGGGGATACCACGGTAGAGACAGTGATGATGATGCCGATGATGATACTGATGATGATGATGATGATGATGATGATGCTGATTACGATGATGATGATGAAACTGACGATGCCGACGATGGTGACGATAATAATGACGATGACGACCACGGCGGCGGAGAAGACGATGATGATGCCGTGCCTTCGAAAAGTTACCATCACAAATCAAATGGTCAAATGCGTTCTGACATGCAACCCGCAAGCCCGTCGAGGTTGCGGCGGAGTGCTGCTGGGTAAGAGAACACGAGGAACGCCGCAGCGGCGGTTCCTCTGTGGTCCGATCTGTCCTGCACGCTTTGCGCTGCCGCCCGCCCCTCCCCCCCGAGCGAAGGCAACGCGTGGACGAGAAATGCGGTCGCGACGACGACGACGACATGTGCGTGCCAGCCAAACGATCCGCCCCCAGCCAGCTCATGCGCCATGCCAATAGGAAATGTTCTAACACGTCAAGAGTGCAGTGTCCTTTTACCCGCCCGCCACAGCCCGCACATGGGACTGGGTGGATTCGAGCAGCCTGACAGGTGATGCATGACTATGGGTAGGAGCTCTACGTACACAGCAGCTGTACATAACACCATACACGTGGTTCCCGCCGAGCACATCGAACACCCCCGTGGACGAGAAGAGCAAGATGGCGAACAATCAATAAAAGGAAAGGGAGAGTAGTAAGAGGAGGCGGAGGAGGATGAGGAGCAGGTGAAAGAGGAAACCAATATGTTGGGCCCGTTTTCCACGCGGTCCTCCAGCATCGTGGACGTGCTTCTTTCCACACGCCTGCCTTCCGTTTCCATATCGGAGGCGGATGAAGAGCATGCCTGGCGCCGGAGAGTTCGTAGCCAAAAACGTCGTGAATCTGTCTTACGACGTAGACTGGCTCGTTCCTACAATGCGCTGGGTGGGGGCCGCCCCGAGGGCGCGGCTGGTTCCTATTGCGCGAGTACTCGGGGAGCACCTGCGCCAGCCCAGCTCCTCCTCCTCCAGCCCAACAGACTCCTCCTGCGCCTCCTGCTCCTCCTGCTCCTCGTCCTGCTCCTGCTCCTGCTCCTGCTCCTCCTCCTCCTCCTGTGCCTCCTCATCCTTCGCCGCCCGCCCTTCTCCCTCTTGCTCGTGCTCCTGTTCATGCCTCCTGTCCATGTCTTTGCAATCGCCTCCTTTCCTCCGCCTCCTCTTCCTGCATGCCGTTCCTTCTCCTCGTCCGCTGGTTCTAGCTCGGGCATGTCCCACTCAGATAGAAAAGGAGTCAGCGACAGATGGCGACACCCTTACGGATTCCATATACATATGTATACCTGTATCTCTCTTCTAGACTGCAGTGGCGCTTCGCGCCATGCAGCTTGGTACTTGACGTCTGGCATGCAAGCGGAAAAGCAAGAACGCAATCCAGAGAGTTTAACGATAACTCCCTGTTGCCGTGTATGACCTCGTCGCTATAACCATGGTATGCGTTATCTGTCTTTCATGTGTCCTCGTCCTCCTCCTCATTCTCGCCCTACCCTGCGAACTCTTCCTAATCCTCCTCGGATCTCTTTGCGAGGGCTCATCCGTGGAACGACGCATGTTAAAGGCATCTTGGGGCCTTTTGGAGGCCTCCTGGGCGCCTTCTGGGGGCCTTCCCCTCCCTGGAGGAAGATTCGTGGGCCCGTGGGGGCCCTCCGATTGTCGGTGGAGCGTCTTGGGTTCGAAGGTGACGGGCTTTAGCACGCTCGTTGACGGCATGGGTGTGGAAGTGTCCCTCACCTTGGTGTTCCAACCTCTCCTCAAACGCCTCCTCCGTTCGGAGGTGATCCGTAATCTGGACAGGCACTGTGGGCGGTCCCTCGGCCTCGATTGCAGGGCTTGTTTTGATGTGGCCCTTGCGGCCATGAGTTCGTCGAAATCCACCCCTTTCCCCCGAAAAATGCAACTCGTGGCCTCGTCTTGCAGGCGCCGTGGACCAGAACGCGTGCCGAGGCTCACGGCTACGTCCTTCCCGACTTGTGCTGCCCTGTGTGCGGCGTCGAGCAGGACACCAGGTTTCATAGGCTCTGGTGCTGTACCCACGATCATGTGAGCAAGCTCCGAGATGAGATTATTGGAGAAGACTGTGCATTTACGCCGGGTGCGTTTCACCTGCTGTCGGAGGCTGAAAAGGTTTTGTACACGCTGGGGCTGTTCTCGCACCCTGCGACTTCTTGACCCCCCCCCTCAGTGAAGGAGCGCACCTACCAGCACTACGACTATCCCGAAACAAATACTCATCGCGTCTCGGGGAAGACATTTATAGACGGTCGTACATACGCTCAGTCATTGAGGAACTGTCGAGGACAGGATGGAGTGATGTATCGGTTTCTGACTCTGGGCAGAAGCTAGGACATGTCTACGCCCCCCTCCCCCTCCCTATCCCCACGACGGCCCAGACTGGGGAGTTTGCGATTTGTACCGCTGTCTGCCAGAATGCTGATGCCCGACTGCCAGAATGTTGTGAGTTTGTGGGCCCTTCCCAACGAGGAACACCTCTCATATAAGCGAGTGCATGCGGGGATGTTTGTTTAGATCGCGGACAGGCAAATGGGGGCCATCCATGAAGTGACAGGCCACTTAAGTGAGGGGCGCGCTGCGGAGGACCAGTGCCTTCGCTTCAGTAAGATCGCGCAAGCTTGGAGCCCTGGCGCACGAGAAGCCTGGCCCTGAGCAGAGTGAATGGTTTGACAGATGCCTCGCCATTGCGAAGTCAATATTTGTCTTGTCCACCCGCGTGCTTCCTCTGTGGCCTGCTTGCGACTTGTTTGAAGCCACACGTGTGAAGGTCGAACCACCCCGAGCACCTGTTAAAAGCTCCTCACCTTTGGACGCAGGTAGGAGATGTCTGGCATTTCACTGTCTGTCGTGGGGTGTGGCCCCGCAATAATTCGTGCTGCAACAGGAAGCATCGGCTCCAGATCGACATTGTTGAAGGTCTCGAGTACCGTTGCATCGGAGTATCTTGTTCCGAAGGCGGCGTTGCTTGCATGTGTATTCGGTGCAAGGCACTCTCCACAGGTAATCATGTTCGATATTTGAATACAGATTGCCCAGGGAAGCCACACAATCTCAGGAGTTCTAAATACTACTGGACCAGTGCGCTGTGCAAGCACTCCAAGCTAGGTGATGTCTCGCTTGATGCGGATGCGCAAAGTGTAGCGCGTCTCTTTAAAAGCTCCTGATCCCGCTGCCTGGCCCAGCCTCTCGGTTTCGTGCTACGGGGCCATGGCCCTGGACTGTCAACACGTTGGCATGTCCGCGCGTCTTTGCCAGAATCTTTCAAGTGCCGTGTTTGTCGGCCGCCTTGCCCGCAGGGGCCAGGCACACAGCGAGAAGTGGTGGGAGTGCAGCGTAGCGGTAAAAATCCTCCTGCACCTCCCTCTCTCTTCCTCTTCTTCTCTCGGGCCCGCCCCTGGGCTCGCTCTCCTTCTTTTCCCCTTTGTGGGCGTCCCATCCTCTTCCGTCTCTCCTTCCCCTCCCTCTAGGTATCCCTCTCTCCCGCCCTCTCTCCCTCTCTCTCTCTGCTCTCTGTCTCTCTGTCTGCCTCTCCTCCCGCGGCGCCTGCTCCAACACCCCGAAGGCCTTTGCGGCCTCGCGCTGCACCTCCGCCACTGGGTCGGTCAGCGCCTCCTGCGACAGGCCCGGGCGTCGAGCCGCCCTGCCGTCCTCCTCGCCGACGTCGTCCTCCCTGTCTTTGTCGCCATCCTCGTCTGCGTCGTCCTCCCTGCCGTCCTACTCGTCGTTGTCGATCCTCCCCCTCGTCGCCGTCGTCGTCGTCATTGACGTCCTCCTCGTCGGCTGTGTCGTCCCCGTCGTCGGCGTTTTGCCCTCCTCCCCTGAAAACTCCGGGCGAGGGACGGTCGAGCGCACGGTCCGGCACGTGAGCGGAGTCGACCGGACGCTCAAGATCTCGGTCGAGGAGCGCTACAAGAAGAGGCTCGAGGTGAACCGCCTAGTGCTGACGTGTTTAACGTCGTCCCACTCGTCGTCGACCTCCTCTTCCACCCTTCCGCTTCCAGGCCCTGGGGCCATCACGTATCGATCCAACTCGTACAGTGTAGCAAAACGATAGGGACCAGGGCTCCTGCCATGATTCTTGGCGACGCTGCGATTTTTTCTCAACGTCGAATTTCCGGCTGCTCAAATCCAATGTTCCTATGGAATGTTGATTTTCTCGTCCGCCCCTGCACGCCCCGCTGCTCCCCCCCACGATTGGCTCGTCCTCTCGTCCTGCCCTGCCTCCGCCACCTCCTCGTCCACCGCCTCTCCTTTCAACTGATCTTTCCCACCCGTCCCTCCCGCCTTCCCTCGCCCTCAGATCATTTCCTCCTCCATCTCCCCCATCCCACCACGGTATCAGTTCCCCCTACCGTTGCTCAACATTAATATCACCCTGCTCTCTCCCCCAACGATGGCCAGGGAGCAGCCCGCCCCCCTTCGCTAATTGTTTGTTCATTGTTTGTACACACAGGATGGTGCCGAAATAGATTTCTCGTGGTCATCCAGCCAATCTGGACTTTCTCGGTCCTTCAGACATCTTGCTCCCGCTGGGCCCCCATTCAAGGATCGCGCCTTTGCTCCCGTCGTTCAGAATTGCGCTCTCGCCACAGCGCGGGCCACATGTCTGGACCCGAGTCCTTCCTCATCGTAGTCACTGTCCCCACCCTCCCCCTTTCCCCTCCTCCGCCTTCTTTTGGTCTACCTGCTCCTCCCGCTCCTTTCACTCCACTTCCCGCTGCTGCTGTTCGTTCTCGTCCTCCTCATGCCCAGTCCTCCTCCTTTTCCTCCTGCTCGTCCTCCTGCACGTCCCCCACCTCCTCCTCCTCCGGGATCGGATGGCAAATATAGCGGGAACTCACCTCTTCCTTGTTCCTTGGCCCCCCTCACTCCCCTCCCCCTCCGTCCCCCTCCCTTGGGGGGCGGAAAGATACGGATACGTGTTGTCCCCGGACCTCTCTTGGGGTGCGTTCTGACCAGAATTTCGAAGCGAATCCAGCGGTGACAACGAGGATTCCCCAGGAGGACCAGGAAAGGCCGGAAACGAAGGGGGACAACAGGTATCCGTATCTTTTTCTCCCCCGACTCCCGTTCTCTCCCCTCCCGGAGCCCCTCCCATCTCCCCCCCCCAGCCGTTTCTTCCGCTCCCAGCAGCTCCCCCCAAAAAACCCTCCATCCCTCGCCAGGTTTGTCGCACCCCCCCCCTCCGCCGCGGGGGAGGGAGGGAGCGAGTGCAGAAGAATGACGAGGGTGATGCGGGTGTTATGTACACTTCTCGATGTGCGCGTGTCATCCTTGCACAGGGGACGTGCTACCTCTGTATCGTTCCATATTTAACGGATGATCCCCAAATGGAATACACGGAGGCTCATGAGGATGTTAAAGAGGAGGAGGCGGATGAGGTGGTGGTGGTGGTGCGTGGTGGAGGAAGCTCGAGGAACATGCCTGGTCGACCCCTCTCCCTCTTCACCCTGCCCCCCTTTCATCCTCGTCTCCCCCTCCTGGTCCTTGTCCTGCTGCTGCTGCTGGTTCTCTTTCTCCTCCTCGTTCTCCTCCTCCTCCTCCTCCTCCACCTCCTCTTCCTCCTCCCCCTCCTTCACCTCCTCCTCCTCCTCCCCCTCATCTTCCTCCTCTCCCTTCGCCCATTCCATCCCTCCACCTTATGAAGAACAATACGCATTGTCGCAACAAGAGCCAATAAGGCATGCCGCCTGACACTACCCGAGTCACTGATGGTCCTGGAGCTTGGGATCTCACCGCTTCCAGGCCGTGCCAGGCTGGACCAGGCTGCCGGGCAAGATCGAGGCTGCAAACAGCCTTTTTTCCAACGCGTGGATCCCTGGACGTCTGGACAACTTCATAAGGGCCAGCTTCTGGAGGCCTCCTGGATAGGGTCCGAGATGGGGTCGGAGGATCGCGCAGCATCTCCGATGCATCGGCACTGGCGACGTAGGCGATGCATCGGCGACGTCCGCGCGGAGAACATCGGGCTCCACATCGAGCCGCAATGCATCGGCGATGCTACGCGAACCTCCGCCCCTATCTACTTCGACCCCACCTGGGAGGCCTAGAGCCACTCGTCCCGAGTCGTTGCTTTCGACGACCCTGGGGCCCGTTGAGGGCCCCTGGAGGCCGCAAAGGGCTAAGAACCTCCCGTCGATTCGGATGGGCTTCGTTTCTCTGTGTTTTTCGTATCACCACGTCGGCGCACCACTTTCGGGATCTGGCTGCCGGTGAGCCGAAACGTGGAGCGCCTGTTGTGGTGCGCCCTGATGAACGACAGGAAGCGTTACAAGTCCTCGCATGCGGCTGGTCACGCGCTGGACTGTGTAGACCCACCCCTTGCTGACTGCTCCTGGATCTGTTTCACGACGCGAACATGTCTGGGTTGCCACCGCCGCCACCGCCGGCCCAGGACGGCGGGTCTGCGGCAGGGCCCTCTGTGGCGCCCACAAGCCTGTCGGCCGCGCCTGGCCTGTACAGTTCGGCGGCGCGCCGAGGGAGGAGACCCCCGGGAAGACTCCACGGTCAGGTCGCGAGCGAGGAAGGCTCCCCGGCCACCGCGCGCCCCTCGGCGGGTGGGGCCTGTGGAGCTCCGATCCGGCGGCTCGTGGCCTGTGCAGCTCGGCGCAGCGCCGAGGGGGAGCACCGAGAGCGGGGCAGGCCTGCTCAGCAACGCGGCGGGGCCGCGGAAGCCCCAGAAAGCGCCCCGGAAGGCCGGGGACCTCCTCAGCAGATGCCAGCATCAGGTCGGGCAGGTCCCCCACAGGCGGATCTTGGCAGAACAATGACAAGGTTCAGAACGTACTCGAACGTAGTCAACAACAAAAGAATCGAAACATCGTCCCTAGACTATGTTTGATTCTTTTTGCATCTTCTTCCTGTAGAGGGACATGCCCGACTTCATCCGGGAAAGCGCCCCCCCGAACTCTGAGGCCCGTCGCGTCCGACTCTGCGCGGGAGCGGGGCCCGCAGCTACCCCACGCGTCGCGACCCCGCGCCTGCGCTTCATGGGGCCAGCCCCTCTGCCTGCCCCCCCCCCCGCCCCACGGTGGCCACGAGCTGCTCCGCGACAGCAGGGCGACGATCGGGCGGAGGAGGCCTGGCCAGGGCAACGAGCGCCGCTCGCCGCCGCACCGCCGCGCCGCGCGCCCCCGCCGCGGCCCGGGCCGTCGCGGCCGCCATGGCCGTCGACCCGTCGGTGTCGTGGCTGCCCTCTCCCTCCCACCCCCGGCGCGCGCCGCCGAGCAGCGGCGGCGCTCCAGGCGCCGGGCGCCGACGAGCTGCTCCACGGAGGCGGGGCGACGATCGGGAGGAGGCCCGCCAGAGGGGCGGGCGCAGCTGCCGCTCGCCGACGCCGTGGCCGCCGCGGCTGTGACGTCGTGGATCGTCGTCGTCGCCGCGGTCGTCGTCGGCCGCGGCAGCGGGCCTGCAGCATCGGGAGCACCGCCTTGAGGTAGGGCCGGATGGTCTCCACGTCCTGCCGCCGCCGCGCGGAGGCCGCCCCGCCCCGCCCTTCGGCGGCGTGCCTCGTTCCTGCTTCGGGCTGCCGCTGCCTCGCGATCCTCCTCCCCCTCCTCCTCCTCCTCCTCCTCCTCCTCCTCCTCCTCCTCCTCGCCAGCATCTTCTCCAGCCTCCTTTCTCTGCCCCCTCAACTTCTCGCTTATTTTGTTCCTGGTGATCTTCCGTTTCCTGATGTCCGTCCCCCCCTTTCCTCCCACTCATCATGCTCGTCCACATGGCCTTGCTAGGATGCCACTGACGGGGATGCACACGCCCACAAGAAAAGTAATCTAGAATTTTGCGCGAAAACGGCCGCCGCACCTGCTCAATGTGCAACTCAAGCGTGCCCATCTTTCGCACCTTCATCCCTCTTCCAGACTCCCGAAATTCTCATGATTCACCACCTCGCCCGTTTCCGTTTCCTCGTAAGTTCTCTTTGCCGCCTCCTCTTCCTCCTCCGCCTCACCTCCGCCCTTGTCTGTTGTTCTTGACGCTGCTCCAGCAGTCGCCGTCGATGATTATGTTCCCTGCCCCTCACGCTCGTCGCCCATTCCTCCTCCCTCACCGAACTCCGCACCCTCCTCCAATGCATTACGTATGTCTCATCCAATTATTGCTCCTGCGCCTTCTACTCCCCCTCCTCCTCCTCCTCCTCCTCCTCCTCCTCCTCCTGCTCGGGAAAGTGACTGCAGAAGATGGCCAGGAGCATGGGCGACAGGGAAGGGTGAGATGATGAAGGGAAAAGGGGGGACAAGAGGAGCAAGACCTAGGAGGATGAGGGAGGCGTATGATGAAGGGTTGTGGTAACACACTGTAAATGTTGACGACGACACACGTGACGATGATGGAGATGACTTTGATGATGCTGGTGTTGCTTGGCGAACGTATGAGGGTGATGCGGGCCCATATAGCAAGCGACCAGGAAAGCACAATGATAACGGATGATGCTGCTGATGATGATGATGATGATGATGATCATGATGATGATGATGATGATGATGATGATGATCATGATGATGATGATGATGATGATGATGATGATGATGATGATGATGATGATGAGGAAGGGGCACGATGAGAGCGGATCTGCGGGCAGATGACGACGATTATGCTATGACTCCTGCGCGTCCAGATTCGCAGATCATCCAACAGTCCGCGAAAAGGCACATCCATTCGCGCAGAAACAGCGAGGATGCAGCGGTGGGCCGCCCTCGCTGCCAGCTTTTCCCCGCAAGCCACGACAGACGGGGGATGGGGAGGAAGGACGGGGAGGAAAGGGGGCGAGGCACGGGGATACATGACGATGGGGGGCAAGACGAGGATGGGGGAGGAGCGCGCGAGGCAAGAGCAGGAGGCGCAAGGAGGAGGCTGAAGAGGGATAGGACCAAGAGAAAGAGTCGGTCGGCCAGCGCGGCATGATTGGTGGTTCTGCAGGATTCCGGTGGCCTGACCTCAGAAGCCGCGAGAAAAAAAACAGGGTGGCGGCGACAAGATCGCCCCTACCCCGGGCCTGCTCTTGGCGACCAGGTCTGATCATCCGAACTGTGGCTGGCGGCGCGCAGTCCAGCTATCTCTTCCCCACGCCGATTCTCCCACGTGCCGACGAGGGCCCGAAGCGACGCAAGGGTGGGGATGGGCACCCCTGTCAGGGGGACGTAAGACCTGGGCACAGGGGACTCGGAAATCCCCGACGAGGTCGTCAAAAAATGACGAGGCCGAGCCTGCATTTTGACGAGGCCTCCCGCTGCAGACATCCCACGAAACTCCTCCTCGTCAAAATCCGAGGCGCGGTCGTCAAAAAACGATGGCGAATCCGAGTCCTGGCAAACCCGGGTCTTACGCTCCCCCGACCCTGGGCGCTGGGCCCATCTGTCTGACCATGACCTTCGGCAGCATCACCCCCCGCGGCTGCCTGCGGAGCGCCCTGGAGCACCCCGCCGCCTGCTGCGATCCGTGGGGGAAACAATGTTTCCCCCACGGATCGCAGCAGGCCTTGTTGACATGGCCTGTTTAACATGCCTTGTCGCACGAGCTGACCCCAGCGTTGTAGCTGATAACGTTTGCGCGCTTTCTTTTGCACGCAGTACCAGCCCCGCTGCCACAGCTTTCTTTTCTCGCATTGCCAGCTCCCGCTGCCACTGCCTCTCCTTCTCGCACGAGCTGAACCCAGCAGCGTTGTAGCTTATACGGTGTTCTTGCTGCGACGGCAGGCACTGACAATTGCAACTGTCAGTGCCTGTTTTTTTTTCCGCACCGGCAGATACTGCTGCCACTGCCTGTGTTCTGGATTGCCATTGCTCTCTTGCGCGAGCTGGCCCTCGCAGCGTTGTAGCTGATGACGCGCTCATGTCTCGCCATTTGGCACACGACAACCGCTGCTGCCACTGCCTGCCCTCTCGCACCGACCGCCCCTGCAGCCTCTGCTTGCCTTCTCGCACGATCCGACCTTCGCTGCAATGTAGCATAGGATGTTGCTCCTACGTGGCCGCTTTGTCACGACAGCCGCTGCTGGCACTGCCTGGAACGACCATGGTGCCAACGCGTGCCCTCTCGCACGAGCTGCCCCCCGCTGCAATGTAGCTGGAGATCTTGTTCTTGCGCGGCCACTTGGCACCGGCAACTGATGCTGCAACTGACTGCCCTCTCGCCCCGACAGACCATGCTACCACTGCCCGCCGTCTCGCTCGAGCTGATTCTCGCTGCTATGTGTCTAAAGATGTTGCTCCTGTGTGGCTGCTTTCTCGCCTTCTGGCATTGACAGTCCCTGCTACCAGTGTCTGCTTTCTAAAACTGTCACTCGGTTTGGCGTCTCCCGAACGAACTGGCCCCAGTAATGCTGCTGATGACGATGACGTTGGCTGGCGCATTCCCGCCGCACGAAGCGCTCGCAGCACTGCAGCTGATGGCACTGCTGTTCGTGGCTGGCCTCAGTTCGCCTGCTTTCGCAGGCACCACTCCCAACACTGTAGCTGTTGATGTGCTGCTCCAATTTCCTCCGCATCCAAATTCCTTGTACTTGTTGCTCGCCATAAAGAAATGGAGCAGGGCGGGAGAAGGTTGAAAACCCGGAGAGCACGGAGTGTGCCACGTCTCCTGACTGGCGCGCACGCGCCTGATCTCAGCATGGTAGCTGATGGCCTGGTGCGCCACGATTCGTGATGTCGGCTCTCGCGAGCAGGGTCATTTCGAAGTTTGCCCGCGGAGCCCCCTTGCGCGCTCCGTGCAGAAGGGACCGCTCGGGCTCGAAATGGCTGGAATGATGGGGGAGGTAAAGGCTGCACAGGAGAAGGAGGAAGAGGAGGAACGGAGGAGAGGAGGAGAGGAGGAGGATGAGGAGGAGGAGGAGGAGGAGTAGGAGAAGGAGACGAGGCGAGCAAGGACGATGAGGAAGAGACAGGGTGAGGGCGACGGCGACGTCGCGACGACAATCAGGACCCCAGCAATCCCAAACCCAGCCCTCCTGTTCTCTCCCCCAGCCCCCATGCATCCTTCCCTCCCCCCCACTTTCCCTCTTCCCCCTTCCCCCATGCCTCTCTTTCTCGGGGGCGCGCAAACATGGATTAGCGATCATAGATTTGGCGCGCGGTCGCCAAATTCATGAATCGGGGGAGGTGGCCTCCCCCAAATGCGGCCGGTGCCGCCTCGCTCGGCGGCGGAAATCCGCGATTTCCCATGGGGACGGGACCCGGCACTATGATCCATGTTTGCGATCGCATGACTTCCCCCCCCCCTCCCATCCTCCATTCCCTCCTCCCCCCCCTGCCCCTGGCGACCGCTGGTTTGGCCGACGGCTGGTTTCGCCCGGCTGGTTTCGCCGCCCGGCGAAACCAGCTCCGTCGGCGAAACCAGCTCCGTCGGCGAAACCAGCTCCGTCGGCGAAACCCGCTGACTTCGGCGAAACCAACCACCGTCGGCGAACCCAGCTGCCGTCGGCGAAACTACCCGACCCGACCCGACCGTTAGGATCCGCCCGCCAGACCCGACCCGCCCGTCAGGGTTCGCGCGTGCTCGGCGCAGCGCGCCCAACACACTTTCGTGTCCCGCCCGCCCGACCCGACCCGCCCGTCAGGGTCCGCCCGCCCGACACGACCCGACCCGCCGCGACCCGCCCGCTAGGGTCCGCCCGCCCGAACCGACCAGCCCGTTAGGGTTCGCGCGTGCTCGGTCGAGCACGCCCCACACTTTAATGTCCCGCCCGCCCGACCCGACCGATTGGGTCTGCCCGCCCGACCCGACCCGTCCCGCCCGCTAGGGTCTGCCCGCCCGACCCGACCCGCCCGTTAAGGTTCGCGCGTGTTCGGTCGAGCGCGCCCCACACTTTCATGTGTCGCCCGCCAGACCCGACCCGCACGACAGGGTTCGTCTGCCCGACCTGGTCCGTCCCGCCCGCTAGGGTCCGCTCGGTCGAGCGCGCCCCACACTTTCATGTTCCGCCCGCACGACCCGACTCGCCCGTCAGGGTTCGCACGCCCGACCCGACCCGATTCGCCCGCCCCACACACTTTCATGTTCCGCCCGCCCGACCCGACCCGCCCGTCAGGGTCCGCCCGCCCGACCGACCCGACCCGCCCGTCAGGGTTCGCGCGCGTCTGGTCGAGCGCGCCTCACACTTTCATGTCCCGCGCGCCCGCCCGACCCGACCCGCCCGTCAAGGTTCGCCCACCCGATCCGACCCGACCCGCCCGTGAGGGTCCGCCCGCCAGACCCGACCCGCCCGTTACGGGTCGCTCGTGCTCGGTCGAACGTGCCCCACACTTTAGTGTCCCGCGCGCCCGACCCGACCCGCCCGTCAAGGTCCGCCCGCCCGACACGACCCGACACGCCCGCTAGGGTCCGCCGGCCCGACCCGAACCGCCCGTTAAGGCTCGCGTCGGCGAAACCAGCGCCGGCGAAAACAGCGCCGGCGAAACCAGCCGCGGGCGGAACCAGCGGGGCGAAACCAGCGCCGGCGAAACCAGCGCCAGCGAAAACAGCGCCGGCGAAACCAGCGGGGCGAAACCAGCCGTCGGCGAAACCACCAGCGCCGGCGAAACCAGCTCATGCCCTCCCCCTCCCCCCAATGCATCATTCTCCCGTCCCATCCCCCTCCCCCTCCCCCTCCCCCCCCTCCTCATCCTCCATTCCCTCCTCCCCACCTCCCCCCCGATGCATCATTCTCCCTCCCCCGTTCCCCGCCCCCCCCGCCCCCAGAGGCCGCGCCGAGTAGAGCGGGCAGCGAGGCCACTTGAAGCAAGGGAGCTCTACAGCAGGAGGCAGCAAATCGGCGTGCTGCGGCGCGCCCGGGGGGGCGCTCTCTGCGACCGCTCCAGGAGCGCAGGTGAGCGCGTGCGAGGAAGACCCTGCGAGGAGCAGCAGCAACGGAGGGG